TTCCTTTCCTCCTTCCCTCTCTCCTTCCTTTCCTCCTTCCTTTCCTCCTTCCCTCTCTCCTTCCTTTCCTCCTTCCCTCTCTCCTTCCTTTCCTCCTTCCTTTCCTCCTTCCCTCTCTCCTTCCTTTCCTCCTTCCTTTCCTCCTTCCCTCTCTCCTTCATTTCCTCCTTTCCTCTCTCCTTCCTTTCCTCCTTCCCTCTCTCCTTCCTTCCCTCCTTCCCTCTCTCCTTCCTTTCCTCCTTCCTTTCCTCCTTCCCTCTCTCCTTCCCCTCCTCCTTCCCTCTCTCCTTCCTTTCCTCCTTCCTTTCCTCCTTCCCTCTCTCCTTCCTTTCCTCCTTCCCTCTCTCCTTCCTTTCCTCCTTCCTTTCCTCCTTCCCTCTCTCCTTCCTTTCCTCCTTCCTTTCCTCCTTCCCTCTCTCCTTCCCCTCCTCCTTCCCTCTCTCCTTCCTTTCCTCCTTCCTTTCCTCCTTCCCTCTCTCCTTCCTTTCCTCCTTCCCTCTCTCCTTCCTTTCCTCCTTCCCTCTCTCCTTCCTTTCCTCCTTCCCTCTCTCCTTCCTTTCCTCCTTCCCTCTCTCCTTCCTTTCCTCCTTCCTTTCCTCCTTCCCTCTCTCCTTCCTTTCCTCCTTCCCTCTCTCCTTCCTTTCCTCCTTCCTTTCCTCCTTCCCTCTCTCCTTCCTTTCCTCCTTCCTTCCCTCCTTCCCTCTCTCCTTCATTTCCTCCTTTCCTCTCTCCTTCCTTTCCTCCTTCCCTCTCTCCTTCCTTCCCTCCTTCCCTCTCTCCTTCCTTTCCTCCTTCCTTTCCTCCTTCCCTCTCTCCTTCCCCTCCTCCTTCCCTCTCTCCTTCCTTTCCTCCTTCCTTTCCTCCTTCCCTCTCTCCTTCCTTTCCTCCTTCCCTCTCTCCTTCCTTTCCTCCTTCCTTTCCTCCTTCCCTCTCTCCTTCCTTTCCTCCTTCCCTCTCTCCTTCCTTTCCTCCTTCCTTTCCTCCTTCCCTCTCTCCTTCCTTTCCTCCTTCCTTTCCTCCTTCCCTCTCTCCTTCCCCTCCTCCTTCCCTCTCTCCTTCCTTTCCTCCTTCCTTTCCTCCTTCCCTCTCTCCTTCCTTTCCTCCTTCCTTTCCTCCTTCCCTCTCTCCTTCCTTTCCTCCTTCCCTCTCTCCTTCCCCTCCTCCTTCCCTCTCTCCTTCCTTTCCTCCTTCCTTTCCTCCTTCCCTCTCTCCTTCCTTTCCTCCTTCCCTCTCTCCTTCCTTTCCTCCTTCCTTTCCTCCTTCCCTCTCTCCTTCCTTTCCTCCTTCCTTTCCTCCTTCCCTCTCTCCTTCATTTCCTCCTTTCCTCTCTCCTTCCTTTCCTCCTTCCCTCTCTCCTTCCTTCCCTCCTTCCCTCTCTCCTTCCTTTCCTCCTTCCTTTCCTCCTTCCCTCTCTCCTTCCTTTCCTCCTTCCCTCTCTCCTTCCCCTCCTCCTTCCCTCTCTCCTTCCTTTCCTCCTTCCCTCTCTCCTTCCCCTCCTCCTTCCCTCTCTCCTTCCTTTCCTCCTTCCTTTCCTCCTTCCCTCTCTCCTTCCTTTCCTCCTTCCCTCTCTCCTTCCTTCCCTCCTTCCCTCTCTCCTTCATTTCCTCCTTCCCTCTCTCCTTCCTTCCCTCCCCTTTCCTCCTTCCTTCCCTCCTCTACCCTCCTTCCCTCTACCCTCCCTCCCTCCCTCTCCCCTCCACATCCAACCCCCTCCTTCCCCTCCCTCCCTCCTCCCCCCAATAAATTCCCTCTCTTTGCAGACATCGACGAGTGCACGGAGGGATTGCACGACTGCCACGGGAACGCCACTTGCACGAACCTCAAGGGCGGCTTCAACTGCACGTGTCTCCCAGGGTACGAAGGGGACGGCAGGACGTGTGTAGGTGAGCTTCAGGTGCTTCAGGTGCTTCAGGTGCTTCACGGGGCTTCAGGTGCTTCAGGAGGGGCTGGTTGTAGGTGGTGCAGGGGATTCAGGTGCTGTTGCAAGTGTGGCAGGTGCGTCGGGGATATCAGGTACTGTTGCAATTGCTTCAGGTGCTGTTGCAATTGTGACAGGTGCTTCGGGGACTGGTTTAGGTGTTGTAGGTGCTTCATGTGCTTATAATGTGCAGGTAGGAGAGATGTATGTTTTGTATATTAATGTCAGCTGTTATATTTTAAGGCACATTTTTTTGGTGTGTTTGTAGAAATGCTATTCAGTTGGCTTCTATCTGCCACATGTTTAGTCAACTTAAAAGTGATATTTTTCAGTAAGACTTGGAATGATGTACAGCAAAAATCAGAAAATTATGAAAGTGAGCATCAGACTGACAGATATGTAAATCGAAACACCACTGTCTCTCTTTCTCTCTCTCTCTCTCCCTCTCCCTATTTTTCTTCTCTCTCTCCTTCACCCACTATTCCCCTCTCTTTTTCTCCCATTCGCTCTCTATACCTTTCCTCTCTCTATACCTCTCTCTCTATACCTCTCTCTCTCTATACCTCTCTCTCTCTTTCTCTT